CCCCACTCTTTCATCACCCAGGCCATGGCTCAATCTGTTTTTATTTGCTTTCCTTCCGATCTTACTCACCCTGTAAACAAAGACGCTTAACCTCCGAGACATTTACTGTACTCTGTACTGTGACTACTCTTAGCTGTCTTCCTGTTTTTTTTCCATCTTGGATCAATCCACGCGACATCTTTACGATCCTCACACGGTCAGTCAGTTGGTCAGACTACAGTCTGTGATGACTCACCCTAATTCAAACAGGAAGCTGACTGTGTGTGTGTGTGTGTTTGTTCAACATGTACAACCACATGAAACCTGTTAACGGCATGCATGCATGTCTGTGTCTGTGTAAATGTGTGTGTTTGTGTGTGTGGAGGAGGGAGGCGTTCCCAGGGACACAGTGGGGTCTTTCACTCCTGCAGTGTAACAAACACTCTTTGTTTTACATAGTGTTTTACTGATTGGTATTCACACCTATATACACGTTATTCATGTGTTTTGTTGCACATGTGTGAGTCGGTTGACAGTGTCAACAAAAATTATTTCATTTTATTTTAAATTGATTGATTGAACTTTTTTTAGTTTATGTTATAATATATGCAACAAAGTACTAACATATATTTTTATATATATTATATATTATATATAAAATATTATATATAATTATTTTTAAGAGCTGTGTTGGTGTTGCTCAAATGATCATCATGTAAAAAATGGTAAAAAAATGGTTCATGACAGGAGATTTCCTCTTTCGCTTCAGATGCGCTGGTGTGTGAAACCTGTAAATCTAAACACTGATCTGGCAAATACTCTCCATTCTTCTGTCTCGTGACACATATGTGCAATGAGGAATGACTTGTTTACGTTTCACAAACACACTGGCTGAGAAAACTATATGTTCATTTTTTAAGCTACCAAAGGTCACTGATTGTTCTTGGTATTTTATCGTGTACTATTACAGCAGTAAGAAATGGGAACCTTTGTGACTTTGGCGGTATTTTCCCAGTGTAAGCGGCGTACAATAACAGAGAACACATGCTACAAAAACACAGTCTCTCACTCTGACATCCTTATCCTAACACTCCTACATTTTCCCTAGCCTTCATACTTTTCCCTCTTTTTCCCCTGCTTCATTCCCGGTTTTG